CAATATTAAAATACACCATTTAAAACAGTTGAACTGGGTTATCTGAGTCCACCTCTACAAAGTTCTGGAGAGACTTATTTTGCATAGAATTACGGAAAAAATAGACCCCTGTCTGATCCCACAGCAAGCTGGTTTCCGGAAAGGCAAAAGCTGCACATCGCAACTGCTGAACCTGACTCAGCACATAGAAGATGGCTTTGAAAGGCAGCAGATCACAGGAGCTGTCTTCATAGACCTGTCAGCAGCCTATGAGACTGTGAACCACCGCCTCCTCCTGAGGAAAATGTATAATATCACAAAGGACGACCACCTCGCCCGCCTCATAGGAAACCTGCTACAAAACAGGAGCTTTTTTGTTGAGTTCCAGGGCCAGAGAAGCAGATGGCGGAAACAGAAGAACGGCCTGCCTCAGGGGAGCGTGTTTGCTCCATCCATGTTCAACATCTACACAAACGACCAGCCACTGCCAGAAGGGACAGAGAATTTCATCTATGCTGATGATCGTGCCATCACTGCTCAAGCAGGGAGTTTTGAGATGGCTGAAGAGAAGCTCTCCGAAGCTCTAGGTGCTCTTACTTCCTATTAAAGGGAAAACCAGCTGATCCCCAACCCATCCAAAACACAGACATGTGCCTTTCATCTCAAGAACAGAAGCATCCCGAGCTCTGAAGATCACCTGGGAAGGAATCCCACTGGAGCATTGGAGTGCACGCCCTGGGTCCTCAGATGTTTTAGCCTCCAACTCCCAGAAATCGTAACAGCTTATAAACTGGATGGGATTTCTGGGAGTTATAGGCCAAAACACACGGGGACCCACAGGCTGAGAAGCACTGCTATGGCATTCTAAATACCTGGAGTCACTCTGGACCGTGCTCTGACCTACAAGAAGCACTGCCTGAACATCAATCAAAAAGTGGGTGCTAGAAACAATATCATACGAAAGCTGACTGGCACAACCTGGGGATCATAACCAGACACAGTGAAGACATCTGCCCTTGTGCTGTGCTACTCTGCTGCTGAGTATGCATGCCCAGTGTGGAACACATCTCACCACACTAAAACAGTAGATGTGGCTCTTAATGAGACATGCCGCATATCACGGGGTGTCTGCGCCCTACACCACTGGAGAAATTACACTGCTTAGCCGGTATTGCACCACCTGACATCCGCCGGGAAGTAGCAGCCAATAGTGAAAGGACCAAGGCAGAGACATCTCCAGCTCATCCCTTGTTTGGGTATCAGCCAGCACGTCAACGACTTAAATCTAGAAATACTTTTCTAAGATCTACAGAGACACTCGCTGGAACATCTCAGCAAGCAAGAGTCTAAAAGTGGCAGGCTCCAACCCAGAACCTCAATCAATGGCTGATACCAGATGAGAGACTCCCTCCTGGGCACACAGAGGACTGGGCGACTTGGAAGGCGCTGAACAGACTGCGCTCTGGCACCACGAGATGCAGAGCCAACCTCAAGAAATGGGGCCACAAAGTGGAATCCACGACATGCGAGTGCGGAGAGGAGCAAACCACTGACCACCTGCTGCAATGCAACCTGAGCCCTGCCACATGCACAATGGAGGTCCTTCTTGCAGCAACACCAGAAGCACTCCAAGTGGCCAGATACTGGTCAAAGGACATTTAACCAACTACCAAACTCACAAATTTTGTATTCTATCTGTTTGTTTGCTTTGTTCTGTTAGAAATGTAATATAATATGACTGGATGTCCTGACGGTTTGCAAGGACCGTAGGGATAGGGTATCCCTACATCCATAGGGATACCAAGGTGCTTGTCTATAAAGCTATAAAGCGGACAAACGTCAGCGTGCTGGAAGAAGCAAAGACCACCAGCATTGAAGCGAATAACTGAAGCTTTAACAGCACAATAAAAGGAATCCTCTCATTATTATTTATTTCGAGGTTTTATATACCGACCCTCTCACCTTCAAAGAGGGATTCGGACCGGTTCACAACATGTTCATTCTTCACCATATCTCCCCTACCTATTGAAAACCAAAGTGCTGTTCCAGCAGTCACCAGCCATCCCCTCCCCAATGCCAGAGATACAGCTTAATGGTGTAACATTAGAAAATGTTGACCATTTCCACTACCTTGGCAGCCACCTCTCCACCAAAGTCAACATCGACACCAAAATACAACACCGCCTGAGCTCTGCGAGTGCAGCATTTTTCCGAATGAAGCAGAGAGTGTTTGAGGACCAGGACATCCGTAGGGATACCAAGGTGCTTGTCTATAAAGCTATTGTCCTCCCAACCCTGCTATATGCCTGTGAGACGTGGACTGTCTACAGACGTCACATGCAACTCGTGGAACGATTCCATCAGCGCTGCCTCCGGAAAATCCTGCAAATCTCTTGGAAAGACAAGTGGACAAATGTCAGCGTGCTGGAAGAAGCAAAGACCACCAGCATTGAAGCAATGGTCCTCTGCTATCAACTCCGCAGGGCCGGCCATGTTGTCCGGATGCCTGACCACCGTCTCC